ACAACATTATATATTAATTTTACTACACACACACACACACACACACACACACACACACACACACACACACACACACACACGTGTTATAGCTGCATTATACATTGCTCTCAAATTATCTAGCTCTTCACCCCTAAATTCTTATGCTGTTAACCGGTTTGCTGTGAGGCAGTGAAGTATTATTCCTATTTTACAGAGGGGCTAGAAATCAGTGAGTTGCATAATATGTTGGGTAGAAGATACTTTGCAGTAAATTGTTCATGCCTAAAAATAAAAAAATGCAATTTGGAATTTTAAAGTTCACTTTAAGATTGTTTAAATCTAGTCTGTCTTGTTTTTCTAAGTGAGACAGTGGCTCAAATGTCAGTGGGAAGGAAGATAGTCCAGTGGTTAGAGTATTAGCCTGGGATTTGGAAGACCTGCTTCAACTCCCTGTTCTTGTAGACTTTGTAGTGACCTTAGAAAAGTCACTTAATCTGTCTGTGCCCTATCTATAAAATGGGGCTAATAGTACTTCCCTTCCTTACCTGGGTGTTATTCTTAACACCTTAAAGATTGGGAGGTGCTTTTAAGAGGACAGCTACTCTGCACCTCCTGAAGATCATTCTGCTTTACAGGGTCTCAGATTTGGTATGAAAAAGCAAGGCATTCAAAAATCACTAGTCACTTCTGAAAATCATGGCTGAGTTGTTTAATTGCCTGTTTCTCTGTGTTAGGGTGACCAGATGTCCTGATTTTATAGACAGTCCCGATTTTGGGGGCTTTTTCTTATATAGGTGCCTATTACCCCCAAACCCTTGTCCTAATTTTTCACACTTGCCCTCTGGTTACCCTCTGCTGTGTGTAAAAAAGATATTTGCCTTTGCAAAGTGATTTGCAATCTATGGGTGTAAAGCACTGTATCAAAGATGAGTTCTAGGCTTTATTGGCTAAATGAGATTCTTGTGTGTGCATATACACTCAAAGGAACATGTGCAGGGTAAGATACCAATAAATCAAAGTTTTACAAATGCAAGACTGAGGGACTGCTTCCAGCCTACTACGGGAAGTGCCTAGTTTATTTCCATTGTCCAAGGAAACAGCAATGCAGAAAGTAAACAGCATAAACAGTAGTGAGGTTAGTGGTCTATTACAGGAGTAAGTGGGTGAGATTCTGTGGTGTGCCATGTGCAAGGAGGTCAGACTAGATGATCATGATAGTCCCTTCTGACCTTAGTCTATGAGCACTAAAAATGAAAAGGAAACTAGATTTTAAAACTACATTTGAGTTTTAAAACTCATGTTATTCTTTTTCAGCAGATAATGTTCCTTTAATTCCTAAAATGTGGATAACTATTCCTCCACCTCATTAGTTGTTTTTTCATATATACTTATTACATGTGACAATACCCTTTCTTTATAACTCTCCATTTCCTTTGTGGCAATCTAAGGGCTTGGAAACGCACACATTGTACTGCTTTACATATACTAGTCTAGTTAAAAAGTAGTGCACCTCCCTTTAAGGTGGATGCAATTATACTGGTATATTCCTGGAAGGGAAAACAACTACACCACTCCAAGGCAACTTTCATACCACTCTAACTGTCCATGCTAGGGGTTTTACTGATATAGCTGTTTTGGTAGAAAATCACATTTCTGATAGCTAAATCAATAAAAAAAACTTGGTGTAGATCAGGCTTTAGTCCAGTCCCTGTAAAGAATAGTGTGCATGAGGAGGCAGGGGGGGGGGGGGGGGCGTGTTCCCATGTCAACCTTAATACTTTTCCTGGCATAGCTCTGTCAGTGAAGAGTGGCAGGGATCCCACCCTTTCACCAGATATAGCTGTGCCAGCAGAACTATGTAGGGTAGATGAAGTGATAATAGCAAAATTACACTTTTGAGAGTGTAGCTTATCTCGCTTGGGGGCTGGAATAAACTATACCCACTAGGAGTGCTTTGCTGGTATAGTATAGTGGTATAGCTACCCTCACAAAGTGCTCCTGCTGTAGACGTGGCCTTGGTCTCCATATTCCATCTAATGTACAGAACAATGCTATGTAAAGAACACACTGTAAGCAATGCAGCATGTTAGTTTAAAGGTAAACTGTGTGTGGGTGGTTTCGTATTTAGATAGATCAGCATGCATGTCCCAAAGGAGAGAGTCTGCATTACTCTCCCCAATTGACAGATGGAGAGATAACCACATAGAAAGTGACTTGCCTGAAGTTGCACAATCAGAGGTGGAGTGGGGGGGGAGAACCCATCTCTACCCCCTTTCAGGCCTTATTGAACCCACCAGCACCAATGTATATAGCAAAGGTTAGGGCTTTTCTGTGGAAAAGGATAGCTTAGTTCTCCCCTCCCTTCCAGTATAAAAAGCTCTTCCTTTTTAAATGCTTAGTTGTGATTGATAGCCCAAGAGAGGCTAGTCTGACCACCCTATACATTACAATGTATTTACATGTGTCATTTTGGGGCTCTAGTAATGTGCTGTCAGCAGCTCTAGGAATTCCTATGATGAGATAAAACTGTCCTGGGAATGTTTTATAGCTGCAACTGGGTCTTCTACTGTCTCTGTTTATGCAAAAGAAAATGTGTGTGCACACACTAAATCCTCACTCCCACTAAAAATCTGTATTCACCCCCCATTTAAATACTAATGTGAACTGTAGGCAGCTAAGCTCTGCCCTTTGCCCTACAGCGTGCTGCCTTTCATTCTGAATAGATTTTGATGACTATAAAAATTATTCCCAAACCACTCCCACAATACACAGATATTTTACACAGCAGTATTTTGCGCTTTTGTGCAGTGGTTATCTGCATTTTAAAGAGGATTCAGGTTGGATTTGCTTTTTAGTCTTTTTATTATTATCGTGCTGGGGAGAGAGAGCAAACTAACTTCACTAAGGGAAAGGGGAAATGTTGTCCTCAAGCAACCAGGGGCTGTGGCTATTTGCATGGTTAGGTCTTAATGAAAGACCAAATACAAATAAATCCTTCCTTCCCAGACTCTTAAGCAATGCATTAAAGTTCATCCAAAAGGAGGCAGAGTGGGCAGGTAAGCTTTCCACTGCCTGGCTGATGCTTGGAGTGCAACACACCCACCTGGGATCACCTCCCCTTGCGCTCCAGGCAGGAACTCACGGGTGGGCGGGGCCCTAGAGCCCCTATTATGACGTAAGCGCTAGCAACAGTGAGCTTCTCTCGCGTCCTGGATACGGCTCCCCCCTCCCCCCGCAGGCTCCCTCCCCCTCCCCCTGAGCAGCCCATTGAATCCCTGGCCCCAGCAGCTAGGTCTGTTGCCTTCTCCTTCCTTCTCTCCTCAGGGGCTCAGGGAATGGGGGAGAGGCTAGGAGGGCAGTGTGCTAAAGTAGAGAGAAGGTGAGAGGTGGGGAAGGCAGGAAGGTGACAGCGTCCTGGAAGAGGAAAAGCAGCGCACGCCCCTCTGCTTTCTGCTGCTTCACCTTGGTGGGGGATGTAAAAATGCTGGACAATATCCATGCTGCAATCCTCGAGTCTGGCAGGACCGTGTTCCCAACGCTCCCGAAGCTCACGGCGGACGGTAAGGCCTTCACGCCCCCCGGAGCCTGATTCGTGTGAATTTCATCAGGGAGACTCCTACCTACAACAGTGTTCTCCGGAGGGCCTTTGTGTGTCTGGTGCATGCCGGGGATGCCCATCCATCCCGCCACTTGCCCTACAGCGCTATGTACAGTGCCTTAGGCACAGACATGGCAGCCAGGGTGTCTGGGTTCTAGTCCTGATTCTGCCAATGACTTTCTGCATGACCTTTGAACAAAAGTCACTTGCCAAAAGTCTGGGCCTCAGTTTCCCCATTTGTAAAATGGGAGAAATACTAGTCTCATGGGAGGGAGATTTGCCCAACTTAACTCATCTTAGTTAGTGTTTGGTGCTCTAGAAGAGTATAGAGTGTGTATCTATCCAAGGATAAAATACAGCTTAAACATAACATGGTGTGTGAAATATAGGAGGGTTGTTGGATCCTGTTATGCCTCTCAGTAGTCCAGTTCTCTCACGAGCATTTGCATGGAACTTCCATTGACAAGTTTCCCTAGTGACTGGGTTTAAGGTTTGCTTTTGGAAGGAAGAGGGGTATTTGGTTTTTTTAATGAAAGCTTTAAGCTTCCTATGGTGCTTTGCTGTGCTGTAGTGACATTGCCAGAAATGACAGGTCCTGTTCTAAATTAAAAATCTAAGCTTGTGAAAACTAGTTTTTAAACTCTGAACACCCGTCCACTTTTATGTGTCAGGCTGCAAGAACCCCTTGCCCAAATCATTTAGAATTTGTAGAAAAAATCTTTTCAACTCCAGACTCTTACTGAGGGTTTTCGAAGGGACTGAAGTCCAAATCAGGTTTAAAATGGAACTTGATTGAAAACTTAACTATGGAGCAAGTACCATTGCTCTGTAGTGAATGTATAAACTATGCAGGATGCTTGTGATTACACTAGGATCCTGCAGTCATATTAGTCAGAAAAGAAGAGTCCTATTTTCCATGGAGTGTGGTGAATTTGTGTGCTTGCCATCTAGAGATCATGACATATTGTGTTTCACTTGCATTTCAGAAGTCTTTAGTATTTGGGCCAATGTGTCTGAATTTGTGGAACGGCAGCTCTCCATGAACAAGGTGGGACTCACATCTTATTCCTCCTCTTGAACCCAAATGTTTCTAATGATTCTGATGCACGCCCATGCCACTAAAACCAGTTATGCATGCCTCCTCTTAAAGCAAGAGGCAGGCACAGGCAGATCAAACCAAAGGTACATTGTAGTCCACAAATGTGCCACAGGCTTCTCTTACCTAGTTTACTGGGTTATTCAGCACAGTGTAGCATAGTAAAGTTAGATTAAAAAAAAACCCCATTGATCTATATGTAAAGATGCTTAACATTTTTTACAGAGGTGGGAATTTTAGCCCTTTATGCCTGTTTTACATGCTAAGAACAGATTAAAAAACCCCATTGTGCTCATTTCTTTTGTTTTTAAAGGAGAAGTAACCCCCTTATTTTAAAAATTAGCCATCCACAAAATGGCAAATATATTAAGATTGGTACCAAGCCAACAGGTTGCTCTGGGGATTCCAGAAGAATCTAGCAGTACCCTAACACACATCTTTGGCTATTTCAATTCACTGTGTCTAACATGCATCCGAAGAAGTGGGTATTCACCCACGAAAGCTCATGCTCCTATACGTCTGTTAGTCTATAAGGTGCCACAGGACTCTTTGCTGCTTTTAAAGAAATATACGTTTCATAAGGTATTTAGATTGCTAAGTTAAGCACTTAGATCTTGCTCCTGCCAATCCTTGCTTGTAGGAGTAGTCCTTACTCGGGAATGTAGTCCAACTATAGCCTCTGGTGCTACTTGTGCGGGTAGGAGGCTGACTCATTGGGGTGAGGATTTGCAGAGTCGAGCTCTTTGGGGCTTCTCTAGATTAGGGATATTTATTTTGCTGTTACTACATCAATGATTTTTTTTCAAATAGCGAAAAGGGAGGGAGAGGAGAAAAATAGGAAATATTTGGTGCTTTCAGGGAGCTCTGAGAACTGCCCCATCCTGCTCCCCTGCACCGGAAAACATAAGGTGTGGATGGGATGTCAATCACCACCATCACAATGCTCTGGCATAGAATGACAAATTATGAATTGATTGCGATTATTTAGAAGCAAAAATGTTTCCCCTCCTTCCTGAATACTTATTATTGGTTATTTTTCAGGGTGTCCAAATACCAGGGCTTGGAACATTCTCTTTTTTAAGACAAAAATTAGATGTTGGCAACAATAAATTTATCCTTATTCAAAGACCTGTGTTTCTTCTGTCTGAGAAACTAGCCCAGATTCATGGACTCAAACTTGCCAAAATACACACTCCTGGTAAGAAGTTTGATTATGGCATTTGCCTTTCCTTGAAACATATTTGTCCTGTGCTATAAAATATCTGACAAGGTTAATAGTTAAGAAACCAAATGTGATACATGTATAGAATTCCTTCACTGATAACAACTTAAGCTCTGTTGAAAAGACACCAAGAGGGAATTTCTTTACAAGACACCGTTGCTTTTATGTTTATATCTTGTGTAAGGTTAGAATGTTTCTGTTTGAAATGTTCTTTTACCTTCTGACTGTATAATGCCACATCTGTGGAGCTTTTATGGTAGCTGCAATATATTCCAATAAAACTTTATTACCACTGAAGTTCCACATGCATCTTGCACAAGACTTTAGCTCTGCAAATTCAAAGCTTTGTGTCAGGTTTTACACATGCACAACTCCAAGTCAAAAGTGGCCTGCAACAGCTTTTTTATTTTATTTTAGTGGCACACACCTTAATATAGTAATCAGCTGGAGACAGCTTAAAATAGACCCAAACAAACAATAGATTTTATGAAGCACATGTACAGCCGTATGCATTATGAACAAAAGTAGTTTCACATCAATACCACCATGTTTGCACAGAGTGGGGAGCAATGGTATTGATTATGCCTCTTGTGCAGCACCATGGGGTTGCTTTAAAAAAAAATCCTCTTTTGAGTTTGAGTCTCAGTCTGGTGCCCCCCCGGTGAGAGAGCACTGGGTACTGAAGGCAGAGAAATTGGCAGACAAATTGTTAGTGCACTGTACTGTCGAAGGTAACAGATCTAAGAACTGGCCAGCACAGTCTTTCTACCATTTTAGCTATATTGGTTTGAAACTGGTATCATTAAATCGATGATGAGTATGGATGCAGTTACACTGTTTTCAAGGTGCCTTATATGGGTATGGCTTCTTATGGGAATAAGCTGTGCTTAGACAGTAATGCTTATTCCCATCATAAGCTATGCAGATATACGGTACCTTTATACCTGCATAAATAGTGTACACACTTGGGGTTGTACTATTTAACTATATCGGTTTTAAAGAAAATTGCACTCTTAACTGGAACAGTTAATTTGGTACAAAAACTGAGCATAGACCAGGCCTGATTCTCCTCTGCATTATGTTGGGCTTATGCGGATTTCAATAGTAATGCGGAGTTAATAGTTACACTGGTATGCAGCAAAGGGTGTAATGGAGTGCAGAATCAGGCCCCATATCTCTAAGATGAATTGCAAAATGAAAGTTCTGATCACTTGTGGTTATCAAAGATCACTGTATTTAAGAATGGGGTCCTGGTTAAATTCTTACTCTGGTTTCATGTTCCATCCCCCTGCAATTTCAACTGCATACAGTATTCTTCACTTCCTGTCCTGAAATCCTGTGCTGTATAGCTGCCATGTTTCATTTTTGTATTTTCATATTGAGGAAGTCATCCCTGTATAGCTGGCATATCAGTTTGCTTTTAAAGAGCTTGGGGTCCTTCAGGATGACGAGGTATATGGAGTTGTAAGAAGGTTAGTAAAACGGATATGATAATAGCCTCATAAAGGTTTTATGAGGCTTTATTCAAGGTTGTAAAGTGCTTTGCGCCTCTTACAGGAAGGTGCTACGTAAGTGCAAAATGTGACCCATTAATTCACAGCCTTGTTGCTGCTGTTATTTAGGAAGTCTGCTTGCTGTTTGAATTACTGGGTTCCCCTGATTGTTGATTTCAGGTGATATCCCAATTATTCAACTGAACTTCATCATGTTATCCCTGGAGGGTCCCTTTAACAGGGAGATAGTGGAAGGATGTGTAAAAGAGACCCTGCTTTTTTTCTCACGATCCATCGCTATCAAACAGAATGTTGAATTCACTTTCAAGGGAATTGGAGTTCTCGTTATCCGGGACAACAAAGTGAAAATGAAATTTTACAAAGATTTCCTTCAAGCCATGGATGGCAGTGGCAATCTCGTGAAAGCTCTTTCCAATGTAAGTTTATCATTTTCCCAGGAGAACTTAAATTATTTTGAGTCAGTATCAGTCAATAATGCCTATTAGGCAAGTGGTGAGTCACTCTGTGCACACAGCCAGTCTTGTACTGTATTATTCTTACCTTGTCCTCCCATATTATTATAATTTATTTATTATTTGTTTTCTGGTAGTGCCTAGTGGCCTCCACTAAGTTCAGAGCCCTGTTGAGCTTGGTGCTGTGAATACACATAGTAAGAGACAGTCCTGGATCAGCAGTGCTTACAATCTCAACAGACAGGACAGCTCAAAGGAAACACAGTTATCCTTATTTTAAAGATGGGGAACTGAGGCACATACAAAGTCAGGGTATGTCTACGCTATAATCGGAGATGCAATTGCAGCATATGTAGACATACCCAAGCTAGCTTTATTCTAGCTAGCTCAGGTGAATAGCAGTGAATCCATGGTGGCACGGTATGAGTCTGCTAGGGGGTCTGAGTATGGACGCAGGTGGCTAGCCTGTGCTGTCATGATTTCACTGCTATTGGTACCTGAGCTTGCTAGATTAAAGCTAGTTTGGGTATGTCTACATGTGCTGCAATCACACCTCTGATTGTAGTGTAGACATGCCCTAAGTGACTGGCCCAAGGACACGTAAGAAGGCTGTGGCAGAGTCTGGAATAAAACCCTGATCTCCTGAGTCCCATCCAGTGTCTCTCTCCCAATCCTATGTATTGCATCTTGTCATAATGCTCTCTGGAACAGGGACCATCTCTTGACTACATGTTTGTTCAACCTTTAGCACAACAGGGCCCTGATCAGCACCTCTAGGTGCTACTGTTGTACAAATGAATAATAGTACTCTGGGCAAAGAAAAAGAAGGCCTGAGTTTGTGTCCTTCCTTGGTACGAGGACAGACATTTTAGTAGTGGGAAAGACTTGCTGCAACTTTGTGAATGAAACCTTAACTGAACTAATTGCAGTCTGTTCAAATCCATAATCTGCAGGAACTGTACAAACCAACCAACCAAGCAGTGCTTTAAAACCATGCTAGTAACATGTGTTAACCATGTACCTGTCTCCACTTGCTTCTCTACTGGAAAGTAAATAGCCTCTTTATTGAGTCTAATGATTCCTGACCACTCAGAAATCATGACAATATTATCATTCATTATCAGTGATTGGCTGGGACAGTTTCTATCAGTTACAATGAAGGGCAAATGTGAATGAAATAGGATTTTGTGACAGGATTTTGAAGTAGCAGCCTGTTGTTTTAGAAGTAGAAAGGGTTGCCTTGTTTGTTACCTGCTAGACAATGTCCTCTGAGTTATCTCAAATGTTTGTTGTTGTAGAGGCCCGGGACGGGGGATTCAGTTATTTCAGGAAGAGAAACTGCAATGTCTCAGTCCCGTGCTTGCAGTGTTGTCATGTTTCCAAGGTGAGTACTTTTGCTTCTTTACCAGTTCACTGACCAAGCTAGCATCTCCTATCTTATATTTGGGAGCCCTGAATCTATTGTGTTAGGGCTTGTCTCCACATGGAATTATTACTCCAGAATACCTATTCAGGGTAGCTATTCCAGGATAACTCTGTGTGAGCACTCTTATTCTTTAAAAAAAGATTAAGCTAAATTGGAACAAGGCACTTTTATCCCAGGATCAGAGAGTCCACTCATGGAGTTATTTAGGAATAGTTGTTGCACTTTAACTTCACACTTTAACATAATCTGAATTAACTTCCAAGTGTAGACAAGGTTAGATAATGATTTTCATAATGCTTCACTTGCCTCATCTCTTTCTTTTGTGTAAGATTTCAAAAAGTTAAAATATGTACACTGTCTGATTTTTACATGAACAGCTTCCCTTAAATTATGGATCTGGCCTTGGACTTACAAAAGTCATATGGTCATGTAATTTTACTGGTATTTGTGGCATTCAATTGAATGAATACTTACCACCAGTCTTCCTGGGTAGAAGATCCACAGTAAAAAGTGACAAGTCAAAAAGATATCTTGCTTCCCTCTTCAATAGCAATGGAATATGGTAATTCCCTTCCCTTCCTAACCTAACTGAGGTACAAAACCTCCCAGGGAACCATTTGCTCCTTTCCCCCAGAGGAGGAGTTCCACCCTTTCTCCCCCTTCCTGCCCCCATGACACTGGTTCAGAACAGGAACTATCCATTCATGTAACAGTTATGGGCTTAAAATATGACACGTTGTGAATCATCAGGGGTAGATTTTCACCATTAGAAAACAAGGACTTTCCAATAGTATAAATCATTTATTTCTAGTCCTAGTACCTCATGATATGTTGAACTGTAAAATTACAGCACTGTCATGATATTTTAGGTAATTTTTAGAGGTTTTTAAAATATATTAGTTATATTTTTTCCTCTCCCTCCGAGTCCCATTTGGGTGGACTTTAGGTAACTGAAGGGCTGATCCTGAGAGGTGCTGAGTACCCATTACCAAGTATTGCCACCTTTACTTCTGCACTGCAGCTGCGGGGGCCGCTGCCTTCAGGGCTGGGTGCCTGGCCAGCAGCTCCTGCTCTCCGACCACCCAGCTCTGAAGTCAGTGCAGAAGTAAGGGAGGCAATACCACAACCTACCTACAATAACCTTGCGACCCCCCTCCCCTCACAACCCCCGTTGGGTCAGGACCCCAGTTTGAGAAATGCTCGTCTCCCCCATGAAAGCTGTATAATATAGGGTAAACGTACACAAAAGACCAGATTTCACGGGGGAAGACCAGATTTCACAGTCCGTGGTGCGTTTTTCATGGCCGTGGATTTGGTAGGGCCCTAAACATAGAGCTTTGGTGTCCTTCAGTATAAAAGGGGTTATAGAAATGTAAATGCTGAGAATAGTTAAGTAAATTGAATACTTTCTGCCTTACTTCATGACATAGATTGCCATAAAGAATAATTTTTGTTACTGTCCATTTTTATGTAAATCATTTTACATGCATAATCCTTAAGGCTGCTATATATTCTGCTTTTGAAAAGTACAATCTTTACAGTCGTGCTAAAGATACTTGTGTGACCAGGTTACTAATACAACACTGTGCCTTCTATTCTGGCATAGGTTCTACAAAAGAAACTGACGTCTTTTCCTTGTTTCCAGGATTGAGTTGAAGGAAACAGACAACAAAGCAGCCATGGAAACCATCTTAGAAGAACGTGAAAAGTCCAACAAAGAAAAGGAGCTAATAGAAAAAGAGAGAGCTCATAGTAACAGTAGCAGTAAAAAAGGTAGGTTGTCAATTGAATATTGATACAGGTTCATTGTCATTCACTTGTTAGACAATAGGGGCCAGGTTTAAAATGTGCAGTTTGCACATCGTCTGGGACACATTTAACAGTTGTAAGTATCCATCGTGGCAATGATCAGACATGCTAACCATCGTGGAAAGGAATCACAGAAGGGTCCAGCCTTTTCAATTCAAGAGGATATTTCCACTCAACTCTAATACCTAGACTGTATTGCAAAAGGCTCTCTGCAGTTTTATGAGTTTGGCTAGGCAAAAAGCATTGAAAGTTGAGAAAATCTATTAGCATTCCAATATGGTGTGTGCCTCGTACAAAATCACAGCTGGCTTTTCTTTGGAGAGAAAGCATCCTCCTGTGATGATCATTTGAAGGCTGCCAGCCTATGCCAGTACCGAATTCTATCTTTAAAGCTGGGAAGCAATTTTCATTCTAACCCTCACTTTCAAGTTGCTCATAAACTTCACAAAAATAATCCGTTAAGGCTGTAAATTCTGATGCTTAGGGTTTATCTCCACAGGAAAGTTTTATCAGTATATTGGTAAAAATAAACTAGTATAACTCCCTGTGTGGACACTTTTATTTTGGTATAACTACAGTATATTGGTTTACAGTCACACCTTAGCTTATACTGGTGTAACTTTCCTGTGTAGACAAGTCATGAGTCTCAGCCCAATGAGCCACGTTTTGCATTGTGCTTTATCGATGGACAGGGAATGGGGTCTGAGTCTAGCTGGTCAATTTATGGATAAGTTAGGAAGAGACAAATAAATCAGAAGTTATTCAGAGAAAAGCAGCTAAAAATGCTTTAACCCGGAGGGATTGATAGCATTGATAGAAAGTGGCTGGCGTGCTTTGGAGGCTCTGAGCACCTGCAGCTCTCATTGAATTCAGCTGAAAATCAGTCCACTGCTGTATAGTTTTGCCAAATTAAGCAGGGATGAGATAACCATCTTCAGTTATTTATTGTTTTGGGGCTATAACCAGGGCTTATGGGATGAAATTAAGCAGAGGAAAACTTAGACTAACTGAGCCAGATGCTGGAGCTACATCATTTTATACCGGCTGAGGCTCTGTCCCACTCTCATGGAAAATATTCCTGACACTGAGATCTATTAGGCTGTGCAACAGTCTCCCTATGGCACTGGTAGCCCCATTCGTTGGAGCACAGTATAGTGTGGGGAATGATGCTGCACTGTAGAAGTTAAGAGCTGGGAAAGACCCATGATATGATTTTGTGTCAGACAAGTATTAAAACCTGTAGGCGACTGAAACTCCTCCATAACTAATGTAGTTCAGTGGTAAAAGAATGGTTTTACGGCACTGGAATCAATGGGAGTACTCACAGAATAAGTGACTACTAAGGCTATCAGAATCTGTTCCCAAGGCATTTTTAAATCATGGAAATGCTGCAGCACATCTATTGTGTGTGTCTTGTGTGAGCTCCCATGCTGTCCTGGTCTAAGTTGTCACAGAGATGCTGTTCTTGGGATTTTCCTTGTTTCACAATTACAGAGAATCTTCCCATTAAGCGCCTTCTGTCCCGACAATCTGTTGTTCCTGCCAAAGTGTCAGGGTTCAATCTGACTGATGAGCTGGAGAAGAACATCAAGCAAAAGAATGCCCCTGAAAGGTGAGACTCCCTGGGAGTTGTGGATAAGGGTAACTATAAGCTTTTCAGTGTCTTGATCTTGCACTTAAATGCAGCTACAATGTCTGTATTAATTGTGAAAAGGAAAAAAGAAAATTATTTATTAAACTAATGAGGAAGGGGGATAAAATTTTCAAAAGTGCCCAAATCCCATTTTCAAACATGACCTGGGGGCAGTTTTCAAAGATATTTAGGCAACTAAAGATGCAGATAAGCGCCTAGTGGGATTTTCAAAAGCACCAAACAAGTTCCACCACTACTTTTTCCTGCTCCTCCAGTGGCTGTGTTTTGGGCGGGGCCTGATCGATAGACATGCTCTAAAGTGGCCCCTGAGCGTGTCTACTAAATCAGGGCCTGCAGGTGAGACAGGCAGGGGAATGCCTAGTTTGTGAATCCCATTGGGACTTATGAGCGAGTCAAGTTCTGAGCTGCTTGGTGGTGTCAGGACACCGGCTGTGCACTGACAGAAATTTAGGCACCTAGTGGACTTACCAATGGAAACCTTGGTGCTTAGGGACCTTAGACTCCGACAGGGTTAGCCAGTGGCTGAGTGGGTTTTGAGGACCTACGTTTTGGACTTAAATGCCTAAAGTGGCAGTTAGGCACCTAAGTCCCCCTTGTGAATCCCACCTTTAGGAGCCTAAGTTCCATTGGCTTTCAATGAGATGTAGGCTCCTAAGTCCCTGAGTCACTTTAGAAAAATGGCAAATAAGCTCCCACGTCATTTAGGTGCTTTTGAAACTGTTACCTGAATCTGCTTGATGTGGCAGACTCAGGCTCTGAGTAAAGGCTTTAGAGTGTGGCCAATATTTTGTATCTTTGTGTCCATTAGCAGTAATCCTCTGAAGTTGGCTAAGTAAGTAGATTTAATTTGTGTTTATTAGAATTATTGTACAAACATGTCAAAATCTAAGCTATTTGGGGATGAATAGTATAAATGGGCATTTTCCGTATAATGTCCCTGGGATGCCAAGTTCCAGCGTATCCCTCGATCAGTGGATCAGTGTACCAGTTTATTTTCTTGAGATAAAAGTTAATTACCTAAGTAAACTAAGATTAAAAATTCCCGTTGACTGAAGCTTTTATCATGCAAGAGCCCTTTAAAAACCCCCAAGTCTACGGTAAGGGTGTGCTATTGGCTCATCTCACAGTGCCATTGGGTCATCTCACATTTTCTTGCTGGCTGGGAGGTATGGTACAGGTTTTTGTGAACGTCTGGTGTCTACTTTGTTTTTGTCTGACGCCATCTCCATTTTGTATCTGGTAGTTTGGTAACTAAATGCAAACAATTATTCAAGAGGTTCAGGATCCTCTTACTATTCACTGTGGAGTTGAGTGAACCTGATCCTCCTACTTGCTGAGAACAGTCTGCAGAGTTTATAAACATTTAATGGAAGAGAGACTCAGAGTGCTCGTCTAATGGCTTCTAAATGTTTTCGCTGCTTGTCTGAGCTTTGTTCGACACTATCAGTTGTTCCGGGAGGTCACTGAGACCCAATTCAGCCATGATTAAACATGTAGGAGCTCTTTGTTTTAATTTGATGGATACTGCTTTACAGAGCAAAGTGAAATTCAAACTTCTCATGCACCGAGGGGATAGAACAGTGCCCATCTCCATTGTTTGTCTGGGGTTTAATCAGTTAACCTAGAGGCTTTTTCTTTTGCACTAAAGCTTATTACTGTGATGGGCACAATAGAATGGCCAGAGATTGATAGGTAGATAGAGTTGCTTCTCTCACCACATTGCTTTCTCTTCATTTACAGCGTTCGCCACTAGCAATCTATCTATATTGATCTTAGGTACTTATATGGCCCCCATCACCGTAGTGCCTCACAATCTGTAGTGTATTTAAATGTATGTACAATGCCGGGTGTAACTGTCCCCCCAAGTGCCTGACATTTAGATTACACTGTTAGTTAAATAGCGAGAGGGGCCTGGATCTGAGACACCTTCAGCTTTAGGGAAGTTCAGACAAGATGAGAGTTGCTGTTCAGGATCGTCGTCTCCCCTTCTCTGTTCATTTGAATACAGTCAATGAAATAGGAGAAAACTGAATGCAAGTTTCCATTCCCTGCCTTATTTATTGGTCATTTAAAGATGTACATCGCTGCTTTGCATCTGAACCATCTCTCTGCCTCTGTGGCCCCTATCACCACAGCAGCTGAGCACCTCACCGACGCTATTGAATTTATTCTCGCCATGTGCCTGTGAGGGGACATGTGCTGTTATCCCTGTTTTACAGTCACACAGAGAGTCTGCGTCAGAGCTGGGAACTGGGCCATTGGACCATTAACCATTGGACGATCCTCAGTAGATGATGGATTGGACCCTAAATGACCTGTAGCACATTTTTTATTCAGCAACTATAAATGCAAGTGAATTCCTGCAGAGTTCTGTGTACTGCTTTTCTGTTTCTCCATGTGGTAATTTAGTTTACTGAAGGCTTGTTTATCCCTGTATTTAGGTATTCCTTCCTGGGCACATTTGGCTAACTGTGGTTTTACTGTGTTTCTACTCCTAGAATTGTTTTTGGGTCAGGCTGTGACGGTGTGCATGGTGAAGCATCATATGTGCACCCTGATGGCAAATTAGTTACTGGCTGTGACACAGGGTATGACCACACTGGCACTAGAGGTTTATTTCCAGCTCAGGTAGACATACCTGCACTAGCTCTGATCAAGGTTGTGATGGGTTGGATCACAGAAACCCCCTTGGGAGCTGACAACTGATGTGCCAAGGCTACCTCTGCTCCTGTTTTCCCTGCCAGCTCAGGACTCCAGCACCCTCTCTTGCTGAGCCAGACACTCCCGTCTGCTCCAACAAAGACCAGGGTCTGAATTACTTGTCCCAAAGCTGCAGGTTTACCTGAAAACAGCTCACTGAAGTGTGCTTGTCTTTAGCACTCAGATGCCCAACTCCCAATGGGGTCTAAACCCAAATGAATCCGTTTTACCCTGTATAAAGCTTATGCAGGGTAAACTCATAAATTGTTCGCCCTCTATAACACTGATAGAGAGATATGCACAGTTGTTTGTTCCCCCAGGTATTAATACATACTCTGAGTAAATTACTAAATAAAAAGTGATTTTATTAAATACAGACAGTAGGATTTAAGTGGTTCTAAGTAGTAACAGACAGAACAAAGTAAGTCACCAAGCAAAATAAAATAGAATGCGCAAATCTATGTCTAATCGAACTAAATACAGATACTCTCACCCTTGGAGATGCTTCAGTAAGTTTTATTGGACACCTTCCAGGCCTGGGCACAAGTCTTTCCTCTGGTACAGCTCTTGTTCCAGCTTAGGTGGTAGCTAGGGGATTCTTCATGATGGCTCTCCTCTCTCTCCCTTTGTTCTGTTCCCACCCCTTTATATATCTTTTGCATAAGGCGGGAACCCTTTGTCCCTCTGGGTTTCCACCCCCTCCTCACTGGAAAAGCACCAGGTTAAAGATGGATTCCAGTTCAGGTGACATGATCACATGTCACTGTAAGACTTCATTACCCACTTGCCAGCACACACATATACAGGAAGACTCACAGGTAAAACACAGCCATCTGCAGACAATGGTCCTGGTTAATGGGAGTCATCAAGATTCCAAACCACCATTAATGGCCCACACTTTGCATAATTACAATAGGCCTTCAGAATTATATTTCATAGTTCTAGTTTTAGATACAAGAGTGGTACATTTATACAAATAGGATGATCACACTCAGTAGATTATAAGCTTTGTAATGGTACCTTACAAGAGACCTTTTGCATGACGCATATCCCAGTTACATTATATTCACTTATGATCATGTTTTTATAAAACCATATAGACTGCAACGTCACAAAGGTAGCATGCTAAAAATAGAAGTGTAGCTGTGGTGGCGTTTGTGGCAGGACAGGCTAACTGCCCCAGTACGATCCTGTCTGAAACCCTACTCGGGGGGATAGCTGGTCCTGTGGCTTGTGTTGCTGCAGCCACCTTGCTATTTTAGCATGCTACCTCGGTCAGAGCTAGCGCAGGTATGTCGACTGAGCTGGGAATTACACCTCCTACTCCAGCATAACCATACATTGGAACAGTCTGTCAGTTGAAGCTTATGGTCCTGATCTTATGGTTTTGAAGCCAATGCAAAGACTCCCCATATAAGCCCATGAGTTCAGAGGCCGATTAAGGCAAGGTCCAGGCCATGTAGCTGAGGAAGTGCAGGAGCCAATATTGCAGCTGTGAGCAACCAGGGGAGTAGCACACACTTGAGCACTGCTGAATGACTCGTGCTGCAGCAGGAACAAGACAGGGGCTAGCTCTCCAGTGCTCTGGGTGACAAGACCTAAGGGAAGAAAGGAGGGCAGCAGTTGAGAGCCCTGTGACTTGTGACTGGCTGTTTGGGAGCACCAATGAGGTTTTTTCTTTGTTCTTTTTACTCGAAGATGTAGCAACTATTTAGAGAATTTGGGCCCCGCTTAGTCTTAAGCCACCTCTTTATGTGTGGACACTATCCTCTGGTGTGCATTCATGAACATGTGTTTAGTGAACATGTGGTGAAGCAAACTCCACTGCAAAACAGCCTTATGCTCAGTGTGTTGGTGTCTGTACACAGCACTTGTAATAAACTGATGCACATGTCCTGTTGTGTATTCCTAGTGCAACATCACCTGCTCCTCCGTGTTTCTCAAAGACAGAAACTGACTGCGGTCCCAACCTAATTCATGCTACTGGACCCAGAACCCCATCCCCTCTTTGTCAAGATCATGGTAGGGCTGGACAGGTACAATATATGGATTTTATGTACTTATTATGTCACTTTTTAATCATAGCAAAACGTGGTTACCTGGGGATTGATTTTAAAACTGTCCCTAATGGCTGTTCACTATAACATTCAATTACTGTTTGTATAGGCCATATTGGATCTTACTTAAAAGAAATGCATTTCATTATACATGTATGAGCAAATCTTGTCCACCACTGTATTTTGAAGAAACATATAGGAATACATTATTTGAGACCTGGTTATTATGGAAATGTTAACCATAAGGCTCTTGATTCATTAGCGATTATGGGATTTAGAAAATAAATAGTTTCCCTTTTGTGCACAAGTGTTTTGCCAAAACAAGTGCTAAGGTTGCATATTTTGTCAATTATTGAAGTTTTCTGGCAGCTACTAAAGCAATGTGGGGACACTGCACTTCGCTGGTAATTAGTAACAATGGTCAATGATGGGATATTAAAAGTTACTACAGAGAACTTTTTCCAGAAGGTCTGGCTAGAGAATCTTGCCGCATGCTCGGGGTTCAGCTGATCGCCATATTTGGGGTTGGAAAGGAATTTTCCTCTAGGGTAGATTGGCAGAGGCCCTGGAGGTTTTTCGCCTTCCTCCGCAGCATGGGGCAGGGGTCGCTTGCTGGAGGATTCTCAGCGATTTGAAGTCTTTAAATCATGATTTGGGGACTTCAACAGCTGAGTCAAGGGAGAGAATTATTCCAGGAGTGGGTGGGTCAGCTTTTGTGGCCCGCATCATGCAGGAGGTCAGACTAGATGATCATAATGGTCCCTTCTGACCTTAGACTCTATGAGTCTATGATTTGAAAAGGGATTAGATATTTATGTGGATATCAAGAAGATCCAGTGTTGTCATAATTAATGACAACAAACATTTTTAAAAGGATATTAAACCTTGTGATTCAGGGTTTGAGCCAAACTCTAAGAGAGACCAGGATGAGACCTGTGTGTGGGGCAGATTATCCCACATCTGCCTACTTAGGGACTCTTACACCTTCCTCTGAAGTTTCAGAGTAGCAGCCGTGTTAGTCTGTATCCACAAAAAGAACAGGAGTACTTGTGGCACCTTAGAGACTAACAAATTTATTAGAGCATAAGCTTTCGTGGGCAACAGCCCACTTCTTCGGATGCATAGAATGGAACATATATTGAGGAGATATATATACACACATACAGAGAGCATGAAAAGGTGGGAGTTGTCTTACCAACTCTAAGAGGCCAATTAAGTAAGAGAAAAAAACTTTTGAAGTGATAATCAAGATAGCCCAGTACAGACAGTTTGATAAGAAGTGTGAGAGGGGCATTGCTGGCACATGATGGCATATATCACATTGGTAGATGTGCAGGTGAATGAGCCCCTGTTGGTATGGCTGATGTGATTAGGTCCTATGATGATGTCTACCAATGTGATATATGCCATCATGTGCCAGCAATGCCCCTCTGCCATGTACATTGGCCAAACCGGACAGTCTCTACGCAAAAGAATTAATGGACACAAATCTGACATCAGGAATCATAACACTCAAAAACCAGTAGGAGAACACTTTAACCTATCTGGTCATTCAATGACAGATCTGCGGGTGGCAATTTTGCAACAGAAAAGCTTCAAAAACAGACTCCAGCGAGAAACTGCTGAGCTGGAATTGATATGCAAACTAGATACAATCAATTTAGGCTTGAACAGGGACTGGGAATGGCTGAGCCATTACAAACATTGAATCTATCTCCCCATGTAAGTATTCTCACACTTGCTTCTTATCAAACTGTCTGTACTGGGCTATCTTGATTATCACTTCAAAAGTTTTTTTCTCTTACTTAATTGGCCTCTCAGAGTTGGTAAAACAACTCCCACCTGTTCATGCTCTCTGTATGTGTGTATATATATCTCCTCAATATACGTTCCATTCTATGCATCCAAAGAAGTGGGCTGTAGCCCACAAAAGCTTATGCTCAAATAAATTGGTTAGTCTCTAAGATGCCACAAGTACTCCGTTCTCTCCTCTGAAGTGTCTTTTAACAGTGAGGGTAATTAACCATTGGAATAATTTACCAAGGGTTGTGGTGGATTCTCCATCACTGGCAATTTTAAAATCAGGACTGGATGTTTATCTACAAGATCTGCTGTAGTTCAGACAAGAGGTATTTTGGGGACATCCTATGGCTGGCCTGTGTTATGTAGAAGGTCAGACTAGATGATCACAGTGGTCCTTTGTGGCCTTAGAATCTATGACTCTGGTGCTGGCCACTGTCAGAGACAGAATACAGGATTAGATCATCCACTGTGGCTGTTCCTGTGTTCAAACCATGAGTGCTGGCAACACTAATTGGGTCAGATCTTCAAAAAAACAGAAGTATAAAATTAGGCTCCTAAATCCAAATTTAGGATCCATAAAATAAGATTTGTCAAAAGTTCTGGGCACGCAGCACCTCTGATTGAGGCTTATGTCCTAGTAATGCTGGCATAGTACTTGCTGAGATCAATAGGAGCTGGTGTCTGCTCAGCAGTTTTGAAATCAGGCCACTGATTTAGGAGCTTAAATATGTATTTAGGAGCTTAACTTTAGGTTTTTTTTTTTTTTTAAATCTTGGCCACTAGCTATTGTGTCCTGTTTTTAACTAACCAACCAACGGAACACAGACAACAAATATACTAACAGCTGGGAAAATTTTCTGTTCCTCTCACCTGCAATATGCGCTGTAGAACCCTGCTCACTAATATATATATAAACGGTGCAGTTTGTGCATGTCTGACCATACGTAAAACCAGGCTCTTCTGTGATTTTGTTGCCTCCAGGTTTGATTGCCAATCTGAGCTAGAAAGATTCTACTTCATGTTCTGGGTTGGAAATTATAAAGTCTAAACCGACATAGCTGATAAGGGTAGGTCTACACTTGGGGCAGTGAATAGCGCACAGACATTGTGCACTCAGCTAGCACAGGTATAAACAGCAGTGGAGACGGTGAGATAAGGCTTAGGTGAGTAAAGACAGGCCAGAACACTTACCTTTGTGGCTCTCTACACACCCAAGCCATGCCTCCCAGGTCTCTATTTTTAGTAGTGTAGTGTCCCATTGCCTTCCCACTGCTAGAGCTTTTCTCCACTGCAGTGAAAGACGCCAGCAGCAGGGAAAGGCTCTGGCAGAGGGAGGCAGCGAGAAAAGGCTCCACCACTGGGGAGCTGCCGGAGCCTTTTCCCACTGCCAGAGCCTTTCACTATGGCGTGTAGCTACATGTACCCTGCACGTCACTGCAAGTGTAGCCATTGCCATGCTTTAAGAGAGAGGCTGGTAGCCTGTTGGGTTTTTTTTGTCAATTTCATGTACCTCTCCTGCTGTTGGTCCCATGTAATCTTTTGCACGGACAGACTGTTCCACATCTAGCTGTGCTAATAGTTATCAGGGATGGGATTTTCTGAAGTGCATACAGATTTAGGAGCAAATCGAATTTCAAAATACGTTTTTTGCCACTACACAGGAACTGTGCATCTAGCTGCCTTTAGTAAGGAGGAAATCATTTCCCCCTAGTATTTGTAATTAAAACACCACTTGTAAGAAGGTTGGATTTTTTGAAGACTTGTGGAAGTTCATTGTAGGTGGAGAGTGACTAGAGGGTGAAAAATTAAAAGAGATGAAGGTAATGTGCATTCTTTTATATTTCTATGGGCCTCCAGGAAATGTGCTACCTGTGTATGCAGCGTGCTCAGAGAAACATCCCAGTGTACTTAAGCGAAGAGAGGCGGAGGAAAGAGCTGGATGATGACAGAATATTGGCGCAATACCAAACTATGAAAGACCAAGAGGCTCTTCATAGGCAGCAGGTATTCCATGCATCTGAAGAAGTGGCTCTTTTTACCCACGAAAGCTTATGCCCAAATAAATCTGTTAGTCTTTAAGGTGCCACCGGACTCTTTGTGGTTTTCATTCAACTTGAAGCACTCAGAGAAACAGGATTCCTACCACCGGGGGAACTGAGTTTTGAATGTTTCAAAGAAGTAGGCAGGAAAGGTGTCTGTAGATCAGTGGTTCTCAACCTGTTTGCCATTGTGGGCCACATATGCTGCTCTCTCTTATTTCATGAGCGGGAGCTTAAGAAAAAGAACAAATATCACAAGACTGCCTATAAAATCCCAAGAGTTGTGAATGCTGAGCTCTCAAAGAGACATAAAGTGATCCCTGCAAATATACAGCAAAATATCAACACACAAATCTGCTAGGTGGATTGGAGAAGAGACTTGTGCCCTTAGGGGCAGGGCCGGCTCCAGGCACCAGCCAACCAATCATGTGCTTGGGGCGGCACCTTGTAAGGGGTGGCCAATCTTGGGGTGGCGGGGCGGCGCTCGGGTTTTTGTTTGTTTGTTTGTTTTGTTTCGGCGGGGCGGCGCTTGGGGGTATTTATTTTTTTTTGGATCAGCGGGGCGGTGCTGGGGGGTTTGTTTTTGGTTCAGCAGGGCGGTGCTCAGGGTTTTTGTTGTTGTTGTTGTTGGTTTTGGTTTGGCGGGGCGGCGCTGGGGGGGGTTGTTTTTGGTTTGGCGCGGCAGCGCTGGATTTTTTTGTTTGTTTTGTTTTTGGTTCGACGGGATGGTGCTGGGGTGGGGTTGTTACGGCGGGGCATTTTTTGTTGTTGTTGTTGTTGTTGCTTGGGGCGGCAAAAAAGTTAGAGTCGGCCCTGCTTAGTGGAGGTTGTGTGGCCTAGTAAATAGGGCCCTAGTGGTCAGGAGACCTGAGTTCTGTTCCCAGCTCTGCCACTGACCTGCTGTGTAACCCTGGGTAAATCATTTAACCTCCGTGCCTCAGTTTCTCCATCTGTAAAGGGAAGATGATGATACTCCCTTTGTAAGGCAGTTTTAGGTCTATGGAATGAAAAGTGTTGTAGAGAGCTAAGTGGTATTATCATTATTCACTATAAATATATTAGTTTTAGAAAGTATTCAAATGTTATCAGTAATATTCTTATTTTATGTAAATCTAATCTTTTAATGGTCCAGTAATAATATTAGGACCTAAACTATTAGGACTTGATCCAAAGTCCATTGATATCCATGGGAGTCTTTCCACTGAATTCAATGGGCTGGGGCTAAGGCCTTTAATGTACAGAATTATCTATTTCATTATAAAAGGAAGAACTTTAAACTGCACGTCCAGAGAATAGACATGTCATGACTGGAGGATTTCCTGGCTGTGCAGTGACATTACTTTTGTTTACACCTTCATTTAAAATGCCTCTCTTTTCTTTTCCTCCCACGACAGATGAAATTCTTGGCGAACAGAGAACAGAACCAAAAAAACGCTGCCTTTAACCTGGGGGTGGCTGAAGCAATGAGAAACCACAAGAATGAAAAATCCACAGAATTTTATGTAAGAGCTTTTATTTTGTTTTGTTTTTTAAGAAGAATAGTGCCATCCTGGTAACTTTTCTGCCCAAGCTGTGTATTGACTTTCCATTAGCATATATAACATGGAAAGAAACATCAGAAACTGGGTCACCCAAGGCATTAATAGACAAACCCTTTCAGTGTGAGAGCTTTCAGCAAGGGAGACTATTAATGCATTAACAGTGATGCTCAGATTTTGTCATCATTTAGTCTGACCTGCCTAACACAGGCCACAGGACGTCACCAGTAATTCCTGTAATGGAAGGAATTATTCTTCCCTGCGATGTAAGTGAACATTATCTAGCACAGAGTAACTGGAGCACAGTAATAACAATAGTGATAGTGGTGGGGCTACTTGGGGGCATTAGTGAGACCTTTGTCAACATTTTGCCACCAACCTAAGGGGAATTTTGGGGCGATTCCCCTGGTTCTGATGGGATTGTCTCCTTTCTGGATACTCCAAATGCATCTCTGCCTGAAATGATTCCGCAGTGTTCGTATTTAAGGAAGCGATGCCATGTTTTCATGGTATTGTCTTCTATCTTGTTTCTCCCATCAGATATGAAACATGTTTCTTTCCTTGCAGAAATCATTTGTTTTTGTTAAACGGCCGCCCAGCCCTCCCCCCTACATCAAGCAAGAGGAGTATTCACAAGACTTGTTGAAGCAAATGGAGGAGAAGAAGGAGAAGGAAGCAAAACTAAAGCAGGACAAAGAGCTGATGGATCGGCTGGAACAAGTGCAGCTTGCAGAAGAGTGAGTCTGCCTGTTGTCTCTGCCTAGGGTAGGAGCTGGATGTGGTGCTGGTGGGAGTGGGTCCGTTCTACACGTCTCTTGGCCTTGGCACTTAGAGTTAGGACCCAAAGGCAATGGTAGTAAAGCCAGTTTTGTTTAGAGCTGAGTGAAAAATTGATTTTTTGGTTCTGTTGCCAAACCACTTAGTGTCAAACTGAAACTGAATTTTTCATTTTTTCTCGACAAAACAAAAAACAAAAAAAGTTGTATTCGGGCTGAAATGGAATGTTTCAAATGTCGATTTGAAATGACATTTGGAAATGGACCATTCCAACATTTCAGATTTTTCTTTTCCATTTTTTTTGTCCAGCTGAAACTGTTCACTGAATTCGACCTGAATTTCATGAATAGCTTTGGTGCCCTGAAAAAGGCATGTGTCAATGAAAGAAGTATATGCACGAAAAATGTTACCTACCCCTTGTCCTGTTCTGGTTTGAATGCTGGATTGGAACCCCCTTGAGAGTGTGATCAGAAATATGATTTTAAAATATTTTCTATTGTGTCTCTATCCAGTCTAACCTATGGAATCATTCCACACACCTACTGGTGTCTAAGCACCTGATGTTACAGGTCAGTTCTACAGCACAGGTCAAAGAGATACATATTGAAATACAACAACAAACCATCCCATAAATATCCTTAAAAATCTACATTCACCAGTTCACTCCTATACAGTTAGTATGGGGAATGAGGGGAAGCCGCTGCTGCCTTATATGAAATGGCACAAAGATCAGGATTGTTGAGTTCAGAGTGACTTGGATTACTCTTGTATGGGAGAAAAGGGTCTTCTTGGGGGTAAGGACTGTTTTTATGTGTCTTATTCAGTGTCATTGCTAAGGTAGAAGAAAGTAATATTAGGCTCACAAATAAACATAAAGGCTCCAGATTCTGATTACGCTTATGCTGATGTAAATCCATTGAAGTCAATGGAGACACTTTTGGTTTTACACTAATGTAACTGAAATCAGAATCTGGTTCAGAGAGTAGTTAAGATGTAGATTTAACAACGTTTGTGTGCTGTGAGTGTAATGCAATATCCCTACAAGCAATTTAGGCAGAATTTATGCGCATGGGTATGGAGAGAGAGGCTAATAACGTGGCACTAGCTTCCATGTTGATTTGAGCCAAAGGGTTTTGTAGCCAGAGCTAAAATTCAAGCTGAACCACTGTATGGGATTTGAAAAGAAAAATATGTGAAATGGTGAACGAGGACATTGTAACCATGAGGAATCAACTCTGGTTTTGTGTGTCTGCCCTGCATTTCATTTACAAGCAGGCACTTTGAACCAATCAGGGCAATGGGTAGCAGCCATTTCATTCTGTTATAGAATTACTCCAATCAGCGTTCTCTACAATAAAATGTTATCACCTCACCTTCCTATTCTATATAGCGTTCGCTTCTATGGAGATTCTTATTGCCGTAGTATCGAAGCGCCTTCCAGTCATGTATTAAGTGATATGATTATATGTGCAGTGTAACTTCTTGATTTGGTCTGGGTTCAGTTTTGGGTTGTGTGTTGTTTACCTACATGCTACTCTGTGTTTGTGTTAGAGAAGGCAGGTGGAAGAAGTGCTCCTTGCATTTGGAGTGGAAGGTAGGGGGTGGTTTGTGATGGTTCTTGGTTCCTAGGGGAGTTCATCCCATGGTCTCGGACTGGCCCTGAGAATGCTCTGTCTCCTACACAGATGAATTTTACTCTTATGGTAGGAAATTCTAGAGGTTCAGACACTTGTGAACTGTTTTTTTTTTCTTCAAACATAAGGACAATGATTTAACAAACTAGCTGGCTAGGGTTCACTGTATGCATATCATTGCCCCCTGCCAGATGGAATCAGCTCATTTATGTTGTGTGTCTTAGGCCCTATACTGCTAATAGCCAATGGAGGCTTTCTTTGGATCAGATTGTAGGGGCTGACTGTGTTTTTGGAGCACGAGGAGGTCTCAGTTCAATTCCTGCTGAATTTAGGAAATTCCAAGCTACCAAAGTATGCAGCGGCATAGTGACAATCCTAATAATCTGACATGGCCAGTGATTTGTTGCTATATTATCGCATGTAACCCAGGGTGATGCACACAGCTCAAGCTCAGTGTCATAAGTTGTCTTACTCTATCATGGAAGTCATCATTATTAATAATTATTGTTATAATCATTTTTGAGGGAGCAGAGCCATCTTGGTAAGAGAGAGAATCATGGGCTATAACCAGTAGCTAAGTGTTATGGACTCAGATGTACTATTGGCAGATCTGTAGTTCACAGGGCATGCCTGGATGAATCCTGCACACTTATTTCTTGGAAATATAATCTCAGTAAAACTCTTGTGACTCTTTTGTATTTTTATTTCTAGGCTAGCTGCCCAAAGAGCTAAATACCTGAAGGGCAAGATGGAAGAAATGCAGTGCTATAAGAGGGCCTTGGATACACAGGTAAAAACTTGTGATTAATAATTATGTGTTCCTCACCAGGCCAGGTCCACTGACCTGATAGTGACAAAGTTTTTAAAATAAAAAAAAATCCTGTGTTTAATAACTTTCTTACTTATTATGTGGCTAAGTGATGTGTCTTTAAAAACTGGAATGTTTCTCAGAAAGTTGTGGAGAAGGGTGGAAATACACCATATCTGAAGTGACATATTAAAAAACTCTATAATGATCTAAGCCATAATAAGATCTTCCGAAGTTATAAGAATTATCACTATAGCCAGTATTTTAAAGCTGTTAAGATGGTGAGTCCATTTAGCACCTAAAATGAGGCGCAGTTTACAATGTTTCTATTGCTGGCTGAGAAATAGCCCGTCCCCCCTCAGACTAGTTATCTAGAAGTATCTGTTTGGATTGAGTAGAGCTATATGTGACGGGTTGAATCACAGAAACCCCCTTGGGAGCTGCCACCCGATGTGCAAAGACTACCCCTGCTTCTGTTTTCCCTGCCAGCTCAGGACTCTAGCACCCTGTCTTGCTGAGCCAGACACTCCTGTTTGGCTCCAGACACAGACCCAGTGTCTGAATCACTTGACCCAAAGCTTCAGGTTTTCATGAATCCAGCTCGCAGTAGCGCGCTT